GGTGTTTTATGAGGTAGCCAGTGAGGTGGTGGACATGCTTTTCGGCGTGGCTGAGGCAGCCGAGCTCTTCCAAGAGTACGGGCTGTCGGCTGACACCATCTGCCTCTTCAAGAAGGTGAGGGGGTGGTGAAGGGGTGGCGGGGCCATCCTGGTTCCCCACTCCCAGCCCTCACTGGCCCCTGCCCCGGCAGTTTGACGAGGCACGGACAGACTTCCCTGTAGACCTGGAGCGGGGGCTGGATGTGGCTGAGCTCACCCAGCTGCTCCGTGTCCACAGCCTGGAGCTGGTGATGGAGTTCACCAATGAGGTACAGCCTGGCTGCAGCCCTGTCCCATCCCTGCAGGGGCCATGGCCCCTGGCCCTCACCCTCCTCCTGCTCCCCAGACCTCCAATCAGATCTTCGGTGCCAAGATCCCCCATCACATGCTGCTCTTCCTCAACAAGTCATCGTCAGCGCAGCTGGCGCTGCGGGATGGCTTCCGGGCGGCTGCAGGTGCCTTCCGGGGCAAGGTGAGGTGGTCCCATGGTGGGGACATGGCAGGTGGCCGCAGGGCCCCCTGGCAACAGTGCTGCCTGTACCCAACCCAGGTGCTCTTCGTGGTGGTGGATGTGACTGGGTATGGCGCCGACGTCCTGCCCTTCTTCGGCCTGACGCCCACTGATGCCCCCACCCTGCGCCTAGTCAAGATGGAAAACAACCGCAAGTACCGGATGGACCAGGACACCTTCTCGGGCACAGCCATACACACGTTCATCCAGGCAGTGCTGGATGGCAAGGTGAAGGTGAGTGATGCGGCACCGTGCCAGTCAGCACCAAGAATGCTGCCTTGTGGTGAGCAGTGGGCTGTTAACTCTGAAGCCTAATGATGGCAGTTGTGCGGTGGACACCAGCCACCTGCTCGCTGATGCTTGTGCTGCCAGGCCTGAGGATTTGGGGGGGGCTGTTATGGAAAAGGAGGCAGGAGACCATTGATGTGAAGATGCACAGAGCTGGGATGGTGGAAGAGGTGGCTCGAAAGGCAGCACAGGAGCACCCCTGGCTGCAGGCTGGGGGCCCCTGTCCCCATCCCGTGCTGTGCCCCATGGGGCCCTGGGACCACTCGCCCCAGGCTGTGGCCACCCCGGCTGTCCCTGCAGCCCCACCTGCTGAGCGCGGAGCCCCCTGAGGACTGGGACACACGGCCCGTTAAAGTTCTGGTGGGGAAGACCTTCGAGCAAGTGGCATTTGATGAGACCAAGAATGTCTTTGTCAAGTTCTGTAAGTGCCAGGGCCGCCTGTGACCCTCCCCGAGCTCTGCACAGGGCTCAGCCCCTACCCTAACAGCCCACAGCCCTGTCCCCAACCCCTTGCCCAGGGGATGCCACACCCTGGCCCCAGCAGAGCCCTGGTCCCCGGGCTTGTACTCCAGCACCGTGCCTCCCGCAGACGCACCGTGGTGCTCCCACTGCCAGGCGATGGCGGCTGCCTGGGAGGAGCTGGGTGAGCGCTACAAGGACCATGGGGACATCGTCATTGCCGAGTTGGATGCTACGGCCAATGAGCTGGAGAACATCACCATCAATGGCTTCCCCACCCTGCACTACTTCCCCGCAGGGCCAGGCAGGAAGGTAGGTGGGGGCACGTGCGGGGCCACCCCGGCTCTGCCAGCACTCCTCGTCTCCCTTCCATCCCGTGGCTCCAGATGGTTGAGTACAAGAGCACCCGAGACGTGGAAACCTTCTCCAAGTTCCTGGAAAATGGGGGGACGCTGCCTGAGGAGCCACCTGCGGTGAGTGAGGTCCCTCGACCCCAGGGCCAGGGACCCCTGCCCACCCCAGGGCAGCTTCCAGCCTTCGCTGGGCAGGGGGACAGATCCTGTGGGATGGGGACAGGCACAGGCTGTGTGCCTGTCCATGCCTCACTGCTGCCTTCTCCAGGTGCCCAAGACCCCTGAGAACAGCACAGGCAGGGAGGAGCCGAGTCCGCTCGGGACAGCCCAAACCCGGGATGAA